GAAAATGACCATTATTACTTCTGTGCCTCTGAGGTTTTTGTTAATAAATCATGACTAAGCATAACCAAAAACACACATATCTTTTCCTTTCTCTGTGGCAATTATAGATTTAACCTCTGTGGGTTTTAGGAGACTATTGCCTTTGATGATGGGTTTTAAAAGTAGATAATATAATGGTAAAAAAGAAGTGTATGTTAGGGACGATGACAGAGACAAGGAAAGGAATGTGTTTTCCGAACTTTAATCTTTTCCACAGCAGCCTTTTTTTTTTTGGCAATCTACATGTCACCTGTACTATTATCCATTTAACCTTTTCTTTTAAATTGTTTGCCTTTTTAAAAATTCAAATATGCTTTTAAAGGACTCTTTCTTTTACAGTCACAAACAGAAAACTAGTGCCATTTGACAGAAATCACAAGTAACTGGAAAGGTAAAAGCAATCCCATCCCAGACAGTCATTACATTCTGGCTNCATTTAACCTTTTCTTTTAAATTGTTTGCCTTTTTAAAAATTCAAATATGCTTTTAAAGGACTCTTTCTTTTACAGTCACAAACAGAAAACTAGTGCCATTTGACAGAAATCACAAGTAACTGGAAAGGTAAAAGCAATCCCATCCCAGACAGTCATTACATTCTGGCTGGATGCTGCTATCTGCCAAAGCTCTCGGTCTAAAGCTTTCTCCTTTTTTTAAGAAATGGGAGATTGGCAAGTGTTAGGAGCTAAAGACAATCTAGCACAAACTGAGATTTTTTTCTGGCACAGAGGAGCACTGAAGGAGAGTTGGAAAGGATATGCTGTTCTCATTTGTAACTCGATGCAGCTTAATGCCTTATCCCGATGGGACCTCAGACCTTCTTGAATGCCACGGGGCTGTAGAGAGGAAGGATGGGGCTGTGAGCAGTAGGGTATGTCACACATTTGGGGCATGGTACGTTCGGGCATTAGGAAGGCTGAAGATGGTTTAGTGGCTGTGTGGATGGGGTTTTTTGAAAATCTTTGTAGAGCTGGGAAGAGAGCAGATGTGGATACTAGATATGGCGAGAATTTGCCTGGCTGGCTGTGATGGAAGCAGTCTTCTGTATTCCTTTGCTTGGGCTGCCACAACATAGTACCACAGATGGCATGGCTTAAATAATGGCAATTCATTGTCTCACAGCTCTAGAGGCTGGAAGTCTGAAATCAAGGTGTGGGCAGGGTTGGTTCCTTCTAAGCCTCTGTCCTTCGCTTGTAGATGGCTGAACCTGGATCTTCATATCTTTCTGTGTGTAACTGTGTCCTAATCTCCTCTTCCTTTAAGGACTTCAATCATATCAGAATAGGACCCACCACAATGACCTCATTTTACCTTAATTATCTCTTAAAGACACTGTCTCCAAATACAGTCATGTTCTGAGTTACTGGGGGTTAGGACTTTGACATACGAATTTTGGGGGGACACAATCCAGCCAATAATACCCTCTTTCCCTTCCCTCTACACCCCTATATCTGTCCTCATGCCCCAGGTCTCCCCGATCTCTAACACTCACCCTCTATCCTTCACAGGATTGGAATCTTCTTCTGCCCTCTGCTGCCCTTTATCCAAATGATTGCTCTTTTCATCATGTTTTACGCCAAAAATGTGAGTCAGCCCCAAATTGCAACCAATCAGCTTTGCTCAGTCACATATGACCTGGTGGTGGTTGGAGCTGGGGAAGGGGCACTGGGAAGGTATCGGAGGCTGGTGCTGGGGCGGGGGTCCCTCTGGCTGCTCCTATGGCTGCAGATGGGAGGTGGCTGCTTCTCTCTCTTCAGATCAGCCTGATGATGAATTTCCAGCCTCCGAGCAAAGCCTGGAGGGCCTCACAGATGATGACTTTCTTCATCTTCTTGCTCTTTTTCCCGTCCTTCACTGGTGTCCTGTGCACCCTGGCCATCACCATCTGGAGGTAAGAATTGGTGGTGTTGGGCGAGGTTTTAGAGACTGGGTGGGTGTTTGTTTTAAAATGAAGGTTTTATTAATATTCAGGTAGGGTGAGTTGAATAGAACAGGAGACAATTGTCATTGAAAAACAGTTTGTTATTAGTAATTCTCAAGAGCAGAGGGCTCTCCATGTAGGACCATGTGGGGAAGCACCAGCATTAGTCAGGAGGCAGAAGGAGCGAGGGGAAAACTTGGCAGGAAGCTTTATTGTGGTTTCTGTTGTAAGGAACGTACAAGGCAGGTTAAGCAGGCTTAGGATTGGTTAGTGTGAATAACTGCAGAAGGTTCTGGAGTGTGAGAGCTGTCCTGAGATGCCTCTTGCCTGGCCTTGGGGTGACCAGGGCAGGGATCTAGGGGCCCAGAATGTAAGAGCCTGATGAAAAAGATGATTTGGGGTGTGGGCTCTGGATTGGTTGGCTTGCATATTTAAGGCATGCTTTACAGGCTAGCCCTGGGAAGGACAGTCTTCCCAGGGTCAGTCAGACCCCAGATGCCAAAACATCAGAGGAGAAAGACATACTTAATACAGTGCTTAATCCAATTTCCCTTGGTAACCAACAGATGCTAAAATCAAGGGAGGGAATAAATCCTAGTTTGGTCATCATCCATTAGGTGCCTGTAATCAGGAATAGTTTCATCACTTCTGCCAAGCACTAAAGCTTCCCAGAATAGGGGAGGCCAGTTCCTCCACACCCAGAACAGAACTTCATCTAAGTTAACTGAAAGGCCCTGTCTGATCCAGCTCCCTCTTACCTCTCCAACCTCTCCTCCCTTTGGCTCCTCTGTGCTCCAGCTCCATGGCTCTTGCTCCATTCCTAGCAGCCAGCAATCCCTCATCCCCCATGGGAAGGGTCTTCTGTTTGAAGTGCTCTTTCTGTCCACCCAGATTTTCAGCTCCAAGGTCGTCTACCAGATCTGATCTTCACAGCCGTCCTCGTCTACTATTGACCCCCTCTTCTCTCCCTCAGGGCTGAGTTTCTTTCCTTCTTTTCATCATTCACAGTCAGAAACACCTTTGTTTGAGTCTTTGTTTAATTGTTTACTCATTGATTGTCCATCTTTCCCACTAAAATGTAAGCCCGAGGGGACAGGGACTATGTGTCTTGCTTAATATGGAATCCCCAGGGCCTACCTAGAACAGTACTTGGTAGAAGGGCAATAAACCTTGGTAGAATGAATGAATGAATGAATGAACAAAGGAGTTGACTTTTAGGATACATGTGGAACTGGAGACATCCAGAACTCAAGCAGTTTCAGGACAGGCCACTCTGTTTCAAAATGTTCTTGCTTCTTTTGTCATATTTCTTTCTTCCTAACTAATTCCATCTTGCCCTCTAGTTTTTGCCCATTCCTAAAAATTGATTGTACATGATCATCATTGCCATAACTCTAGCTTCTATAGCTAACAAGCTTCCCTCTTCATGTTTCTTAATTCGAATTCCCAAGAAATAGAATCTGACTGCCCCCATTCATTTCTTCAAGCCAAGATACCACAGAGGTCACTGCCTAGCCTTTGGATTGGCCACTGTTGGATCAGGTGATACATCTGGTCCAAGAGCTGGTCCTCAGAGTACAGGTCAGGTCAGCAGGGCTGTGAGTGAGACGGTTTCTTTTGGAAGGAGGATGTGGTTGGAGCAGGCAAGAATTGCTGTTTCCAGGCCCAAAACTTGGAAAGGACACCCGATTCTAGAGTAACTATTAGTCTCTTGCTAGAGATGTTTTTTCATCCCTTGTTTTACCAGGTTAAAACCTTCAGCTGACTGTGGCCCATTTCGAGGTCTGCCTTTCTTCATTAACACCATCTACAGCTGGATCGACACGCTAAGTAAAAGGCCTACCTACCTGTGGGTTGTTTGGATTTATCGGAACCTCATTGGAAGTGTGCACTTCTTTTTTATTCTCACCCTCATTGTGTTGTAAGTGGGAAACTAGTGGGGAAAATCCAAGAGCTCTTGGGGGACACTTTATTAATCTGAGATGTGGTCTGCCCTAGGGATGTTTGGTTGGAAAACAAAGGGCTAGAGCACAGCTCAGTGTTCTGGATAATCCTGACTCTACCCTTGAATATGTGGTTTTTTAAAAAGTTATTTAATATCTTCTTGCTGTAGCTTTTTTTTTTTATATTCTATGAAGAAAGCAATACCTGCTTTGTCTCTCTTAAGAGATGACATGAAAATAAAATGTAAAAGTGTATGTGGGAATGCTTAGAAAATTTATGTGTGATTCTTTCTGAAACTGTGGTATGTTAAAGTGGTTTGAGCATTATTGATATGCAACATATTGTGCTTTAATTTTCAAATTTACAAAGATCAATTTCTGACTTCTTGTGAAAGAGTAGATTTGCTGACACTAGGCCTGTTTTCCTACATGGAACAATTGGTTGACTGACACAGGGTTGTCTCTCTTTAGAAGCTTAGCTCTGCTGGCATTTGAGATTGCAGCTCCTCATGTAGAGAAACACAACTCAAAAGTACAGACTATTGGAATCAGTTGATGTAGATTGTAGAGCAACTTCTAAATTTTTTAGGTGGGAGTGATAAGATTACAGAGATAGGATGACTTGCTGAGACAGGTTCCAGGATGCAGAGCCTGTTAATGGCAGAGGAAGCTAGAACCTGAGTCTCCTGGCTCTCAGTAATGCCCTCTCTTCCTGACACCAAGCTATCAATGTCCTCCTTAGAATACTGAGTTCTCCTGGTGGCTTGCTCCTTCACATTTCTAATTCATTGATCTGCTCTGTTTTGACTCACACTTCTGACACCAAATATGTGAGGCTTTTTTTTTTT